ATCCAATCCATCCCAGCCACATCCAATCCATCTCAATCACATCCAATCCATCACAGACACATGCGTCGCTATCCATCCCAGCCACATCAAATCCATCAATTACATTCAATCCATCCCAGTCACATTCAATTCATCCTAGTCCCATGTAATCCATCTCAGTCACATCCAATCCATCCCAGTCACATTCAATCCATCCCAGTCACATTCAATCCATCCCAGTCACATTCAATCCATCCCAGTCACATGCAATCCATCCCAGTCCCATGCAATCCATCTCAATCACAGCCAATCCATCCCAGTCACATTCAATCCATCTCAGTCATATCCAATCCATGCCAAAAAAAAAAACACATCAAATCCATCTCAGTCACATCCAATCCATTTCAGTCGCATCCAAGGAAACATCCAGTCCATGTCCATCATATATGCATTCCATCTCAGTCACATGCATTTCATCACAGTCATGATGACATACAATCAATTATTAAAGGTTCAATAATTTCCACAAGCATTTGATAATCTTATGTGTTTTTGATATACCTAAACCTTACATGTACGTCAACATAAATCGGTGGCATTACCCTTTTCTTGCTTTTATCGACCTGGGCGTATATGGGCATTTCATCTCCTTGATCAAGCCTGTTTCTTGTTTTCAATGAATCATTAATTTGTGCATAGATTGAGAACGTACTCTCGTCTTTTTCATTTATGATAGATGGGTGTCTATCAATTCTGTTCTGCCTAAATACGAAGCAATAAATATAAAGTTTTTATGCCTTTAAAACTATTTTAAAGATCTAGAGCTAAATTTTAACCGGAACGCAATGGAACTATAAAAGAACAAGGTGTCTATTAATATAATCAACGACTGGGTTTCAATGTTTCCCAAGCAGGATGACCTTCGATAACAGGGAACGTTTTATTAGAAAATTGTAAGTTGTCCGATTCTATAAGTGGTAATTTAATCGTTAAATGTGGAGGCATCCTGCAGTGCAGACCTGCTCGCATATCTTGCCCCAGGCTCTTTAATTTGTAGAACTTGAATATAGAAGTCTAAGCCATTCATTATTGTTAATTGATATTTGTATAATACAAGTTTTGCGTCGTGAATTCGCACTGAGAAGGAAAACT